AAATTACTATACATAGTAGGCACTTAATAAGAACTAATGATAATTACCTCAAATCATTACTGTGATGATGCCGTTTATACAAAAATATACCAGTTGGAATCTGCACATAAAACCAACAGAGGGAGCCTCTAACCTATTTCTGGCTTCAGGGTCAAGGTACAGATTTTTGTCAGCTATCTCTGAATCAAGTGTAGCAAGATAGGAGTGTAATAGTGGTGGAACACTTGCCTAGTAAGCTTCAGGCGCTGGGCCTAATCTCTAGTACTGCTAAAACAAAACCAAAAAAGTGATCTGATGATATCCCTAGATGGCAAGCAGGGACGTGGATTTTGGAGAAGTACATAAGAATCTTCAGTGGTATTGGTAATGTTGCCCTCTATATGTAAATCTGGACGTTTTGCTATATTATGGTTTTTTTTTGTCGGTCATGGGGCTTGAACTTAGGACCAGGGCACTGTCCCTGAGCTCTTTCTATCAAGGCTAGTACTCTACCCTTTAAGCCATAGGGCCACTTCCAGTTTCCTGGTGATTAATTGGAGATAAGAGTCTCACAGACTTTCCTGCCTGGGCTGGCTTTGAACTTCATCCTCAGATCTTAGCCTCCTGAGTAGCTAGGATTACAGGCTAAGCCACTGGCACTCTGCTTGTTCTATTATGCTTTAAAACCTGTATGTATGTGTCAATTACAGCATAACATTAAGCAATTGCAATTCACAAGCACCCATGTCCCTCTTTGCTCTCAGTTTAGAGCTCAAGACAGAATTCCCTGTGCTTTTATCCTTGTTCACACCTCCTAGTCATTTCCTGAATTAGACTGCAAGCTTATAGGTAAGGTCCTGTGTGTCCATGTCTATCTATATAGTTCCAGCAACAGTTAGCAAAGCAAGAGCTCAGTAAAAGGTTCTGAAAATAAATTCCTATATTTGGCAAAAAAAAAAATCATCTAATCAAACATGAACTGTTTTTGTGGTAGGTTTAAAATTGTTCCTAATTCAAGAACTCACAGATATTTTTTTAAATTTAATTTCATATACCTGTCATTCCTAACTATGTGCCATTGTCCGTTTCTTATTTCCCACTCCTGGAATATCTTTCCCATCTTTGCTATCTTATCAAATATTATTCTTCCAAAATCCAGTTCGATGATGGCTGTTGTAGGGAATTTTTCTAGCTATGTGAACCTATGTCCAATGCTTAACTCACCTACAAGTATCTAAGCACTTGAAATTGGTAATATTCACTTTGACAGATCATATCCTATACTTTATTATTTGCTAAAATACTTAATATTTTCTTTTTACTGATATAAATATTTTCTTTTCTTTTTTTTTTTTGTTGGTTGTGGGCCTGAAGTCTGGGCCTGGGCACTGTCCCTCAGCTCTTCAGCTCAAGGTTAGCCCTCTACCACTTGAGCCACAGCGCCACTTCCGGCTTTTTCTGCTTATGTGGTGCTGAAGAATCGAACGCAGGGCCTCATGCATGCAAGGCAAGCACTCTACCACTGAGCCACCTTCCCAGCCTGATATAAATATTTTCTAAGATCACGCATAATTAAGGCATACACTGTGTTCCATATATCTTTTATGTAACACTAGAATACAATACAGTAGTGACACATGCTTGTTTAGATGAGCAGAAATGTATACATAAAGGAGTACTGTTACTATCTGACCAGCCTGGCTTTGTAATGTGGAACAATACAGGAGTTAAGGAGGAGATCCTCAAATTAAATAGGGAAGGCTTTCTTTTAAGGTAAGAAAAGAAGTCCTTTCCATTCAGAAACCTGAAACAATGCTTTTTGTGTAGGGATACAGCAAATGACTGGTTAAAAAAAATACTGTAAAGATTAACAAAGGATAAAAATTCTTTTTAAAAAGATATTTAGGAAAAAGATTGACCTTAGAAAAGTTCAGTTGGACAATGAGACAAGAATGAAAAAAATTTTGTGACTGTTTATATAACTGTATATGTAAATGTTTACATGGAGAATTAAACTTCAAGTTAATTTTAGACTCTAAAAACTAAGTCAATCACTCAGGGATTTTACTGCATCTTAAACTGAAGGAAAAATAATGAGAATGATAATGAGATATACAAAGGGTCTATGGAGGGTCTTTTGCACAGAGGGCAGTCAAACATGAAACAAAACCAACTAAGCGCCACAATTCTAAAGTCCCCAGATAGGTCTAAAAGCCATAACTACTGGTGACTTATTAGTGTAACTAACAGAAATGTATTTCTTACCTTTGTCTTCTCCCTGCTCTCCAATGACCCATATATCCTTGCCTGAAGACTGTGCCTTTAAAACATTTGTAATAATGTATTGTAATCTCTGTGAATCCAGATTGCATCCAGTTCCAATCACTTGATTTGCAGGAAATGCACTCAGTTTCCATGTCACATATGTCATGATTTCCACTAAATATTACAGACAAGGTGAAAACATAAAGGTTTACAAAATTGTACTTCCAATCTAGCTCATAATTGCTATTATAGTAAGTATACTAGAGCTTCTTTACATTCTTCTTATAACCTAAATGCATTGAGGTGTTTACACACACACACACATACACTCACATATACCCCCAGCCTGGCCTCAAATCATAATCCTCATAAATGCTGTAAAATGTTAATGCATCCTGGCATTCTATAATATTTAGAATAATGCTTCAAGATTTAACAAAAGGTTCTCATATAAATCACTGCATTTTTTCTATTGGGTGTTTAACCATTTTCTCACCAAGGGAGATCTTGCTAACAATTGCAACATAATACCACACTTCATAAAAACTTGTAAGTTGCAATATGGTTAATGATGGTCATAGAGATTTTACCAAATATCCATCCTTTCTTTTTCTTTTAGTGTTGGTCCTGGGTCTTGAACTCAAGACCTGGGCATTGTGCCTGAGCTTTTATGCTCAAGACTAGTGCTTTATCACTGGAGCCATAGCTCTACTTCCAGTTTTTTGGAGATTAAGTGGAAATAAGAGTCTCATGGATTTTCCTGCCTGGGCTAGATTCAAACTGAGATCCTCAAATCTCAGCTTCCTGAGTAGCTAGGATTACAGTGAGCCACCAGCACTTGGCCTATCCATCCTTTTATAATCTCAAGTTTTATGCTTTTTTTTTGTTTTGTTTTAGGTAATAGCAATTCTACTACTGATAGCAGACTAAACACTCCTATTAACTATATATGGATAGTGGACTAAACCATGATATTAATTTAAAATACAACCTTTTAGCCAAAGACATAAAGTGGAATAAATAAAGCCTCTTCAAGTACTGGTGCTAGAAAAACTGGGCAGCCACATGCAGAAAACTAAAAGTGGATACCAGCCTATCACCATGCACTAACATCAATTAAAAAATGAATTAAAGAGCTCAACATCAAACCTGAAACTCTGAAACTACTGCAGGACAGAGTAGAAGAGACACTAGAACTTATTGGCACAGGCAGGAACTTCCTAAACAGAGGCCCAGGGTCACAACAAATTGGAGGGAGACTCAACAAATGGGACTACCTTAAAATAAAAGTTTCTGCACAGCTAAAGACATAGCTATAGAAAGACAGCCAATCAACAGGGAAAAGTTATTTACCAGCAATATATCAGACAAAGGCCAAATACCCATTATATACAGGGAACTCAAGACACTAATCCCTCCCAAATCTAACAAACAAATCATTAAATGGGCAAGGGAGAGACTAAAGAGCGACTTCTCAGAAGAGGAGATAAAAATGGCAAAGACACACATGAGGAAATGTTCATCATCCCTGGCTGTAAAGGAAATGCAAATAAAAACAACCCTGAGATACTACCTTACCCTAATGAAAATGGTCTATATCCTAAATTCAAACAATGACAAATGCTGGCAAGGACGTGAAAAAAGAGGAACCCTACAGTACTGCTGATGGGAATGTAAACTAATACAACCACTCTGGAAAGGAGTCTGGAGGTTCCTCAGGAAACTAAACATAGACCTTCCATATGTCCCAGCCCTACCACTCCTAGGCATCTACCCTGAGCAACAAGAACCAAGATAAAAGGACACATGCACCTCCATGTTCATGGCTGCACTGTTCACAATAGCCAAGACATGGAAACAACCTACCTAGATGTCCCACTACAGATGAATGGATCCATAAATTGTGGTACCTATATATAATGGAATATTATGCAGCCATTTGCAGGGAAATGGATGAACTAGAATAAATCATGTTGAGCAAAATAAGCCAAGATCAGAGAGACAAACAGCACATGGTCTCCCTGATATACAATGTTAAATTCAAAATGCAAAGAGATATGAAGTAAACAGGATTCAAGAAACAAAGGACTTCTTCTTAATTTGTCATACTGTTTTTAGATGACTCTATGTTCTTGACCCCACATATGGTATATACATATGCACATCTGAGGGAAGCTAGGAGGAGGGCACAGAATCAGAGGGAAACAGGTGATAAAATACAGCAGAGGGGTCCATCAGCTGCACTGGACATTGATGAAAGTGAACCAAGCAACTCAAGGACAGCGATGGGAGGGAGGGAATGAGAGAGAAAGAGGAAACAACTTACACTAAGCAAAAGGAAAGAAATGTACATAGCACCCTATTTGGAAGAAATAGTTGTATTGTCAAAGTTTGTAGCGTTCACAGGCTTTATAGGCCATGATAATGACAATTTGCCTTGTAAAGGTTAAAATGTGTTTGTGACTTTAGCTAAATATTACTATCCCACAATATTGTGAAGTTTATGCAAACACTTAATATCAATAAAGATATTAAACAAATAAAGTCTTTTACCTGGTTGAGATGCAACAAGCAGGACACCATTCTGACTATAATGTCCAAGAGTAGGGACCAGGGTTCTGAACATATCCACATTGCTCTGCACCACATCAAGGTAGGACTCAGAATTACCCAGAGAATTGACAGTGAAGATTACCACCTTGGAATGAGCAGAGGCAGACAAATCTAATGAATAAAAAGAAATAGTTGGAACTCAAACTGTAAGATTTAATCTAGTTCTAGTTTATAATGACAAGTTTTTTCCCCTTTTTCTAGTTTTTAGACATACTTGCACCTAGATCAATTATACAAAATGCTGAAGGTTAAAAGCAAAAGTGGACTCTACCCAGAGCCAGTTGAACTACACAGCAAAAACAAACTAAAAAACAACCCCCCCCAAAACAACAAAAATTCATCCCAAGGGGAATAAGACAGTAATAAAGTTAAATAAAAATAAATTATAGAATCTAGATTGTACATCCAAGTTCTATTTCTATGTAATACACAATTTTTTTGTCTTTCTTTTTGTCAGACGTGGGAGCTGAACTATGGGCCTGGGTGCTGTCTCTCAGTTCTTTAGCTCAAGGCTAGCACTCTACCACTTGAGCCACAGCACCACTTCCAGCTTTCTTCTGCTTACGTGGTGCTCAGGCATCAATCCAGGGCCTCGTGCATGCGAGGCAAGTACTCTACCACTGAGCCAACTTTTCCCAGCTCCTAATACACATATTTTAAGGAAAAATAATAGGCATGAGCAAAATTAACCTACAATCAATTACATCACCACCGTGATTTTAGTGGTCCTAAAATTCCAAGGAAAGAGAGGAGAGAAGGGAAAAAAAGAGAGGAGAGGAAGGGAAAGAGGAAGGGAGGAAGGCAGTAAGGAAAGAGGGAAAGACAGAGACAGATTTTGAAAATCTCTAAATTAAAATGAAGTTTTGGGGCTGGGAATGTGGCTTTGTGGTACAGAGCTTGCTTAGCATGCACAAAGCCCCAGGTTCAATTCCTCAGTACCACATAAAAAGAAAAAGCCAGAAGTGGTGGCTGTGGTTTAAGTGGCAGAGTGCTAGCCTTGAGCAAAAGAAGCTGAGGGACAGTGCCCAGAGCAAAAGTAGCTCAGGGGGGCTGGGAATGTGGTTTAGCTGTAGAGTGCTTGCCTAGCATGCATGAAACCCTGGGCTCCATTTCTTAGCACCACATAAACAGAAAAAGCCAAAAGTAGTGCTGTGGCTCAAGTGGTAGAGTGCTAGCCTTGAGCGAAAAGAAGCTCAGACAGTGCTCATGCCTTGAGTTCTAGCTCCAGGACTGCGAAAAATAAAATGAAATTACTTGACTAGTGTTTTGGGTTTTTGTTTTTTTTTTTGGCACAGTATCTTGCTATGTAGCCCAGACTGGTCTCAAACTTGTGATCCTTCTGTCTTGACCCTTTTTTTTTGGGGGGGGGGGTCCGGTCATGGGGCCC